GGATTTTCCAGAGAACCAGCTTGGGGGAGAGGGAAAGAGAGATAAATTAATTGATTTCAAAGGAAGAAATTGACTTATGTGACTGTGGGGGACAGTGAGTAAGAAATCTGTAGGGAGGGAACTCTGGCAGGAGCTGATGCTGCAGTCCAGAGGAGGAATTTCATTTTGAGAGAAACCATCGGTTTTTTTGCTCTTGAGACCTTTCACAGGTTGGATGAGTCCCTCCCAGATTCTAGAAGATAATCTCTTTTACTTAAAGTCAACTGGCTCTGGATGTCAACTCCATCTACAGAATTCCTTCACAGTAACTACCCAATTACCCAACCAAACACTGGGTAATGCAGTCCAGCCAAGTTGACACAGGACTAACCTCAGTGTGTCCATACCTCACAGCTCATTGTGGGCTCTCAGAGAGGGGAGGCAAAGTGCCTCTATGGCTGTGGATAGTAACAGGGGATGAGATGAGTCTCCCAGGAAGCAAATGGTGGAGACCTTACAAGAAAGAGTTCCCTGCTGCACTAACACTAAAGCCAAAGTGCTAATAGAAGGCTGTGGGGTCCTGCATAACCCCCCACCCCACCTTTCAGACCTCATTTCCTGTGTTTCTCTTTCTCACACCCCACTTCAGCCACATGGGCCTCCTTGCAGTTCCTCCTTGATATGCACTTAGTTAATTTCCTCAACTCCTTCAAGTCTTTGCTTGAATATATTTTCTTAACCAGGCCTCCACTCTCCCCAACATTTCCAATCCCACCTAGTTCTCTATTTTTTCTTTTCTTTTTTCCATAGCACTTACCAACTTCTATACAATTTACTTGTTTAGTTAATTTGTTACTGTTTACTCCATCCTTCAGAACATATACTCAGTAAGTATCTTTGTTTTGATTGCTGATATGTTTGAACCTTCTGGAACAGTGCCCGGCATATGCCAGGCATATGGTTGAGGCCCAAGAAAGATTTGTTCGATGAATGAATGAGAAAGATAAGGAAGGACAGTGCTACTCTGGAATGAATAGGGTACGGTTAGGGCAGCCTGGTTGGAACTCCAGGGGCACCATTCATATGGATTACAACGCAAATAAAGGTCCCTGGTGTTGTCCAACACAGCAGCCCTTTAAACTAGATAATGAGTGGGCTCCACCTTCACTTCTTTCCATAAAGAGCAGTAAAGGTTCCATTAAAAAAAAGTGTCTCTCAAAGATCACGTATTAAACTGGATTGAATTTTTTAACCCTTCTTATCCCTGTGAAAGAAAATACCTAAATTGATTTTAAGACATGCATCTCATGGAACCATTTATTATTTTGAGGTCTGAAGAGAGACGTAATAAGAAACGGTTACATAAAGTTCACGTGTTAAAGACAGTTTGTTTTTTATAATTTCCTATTTTCATAATTTGTTTTCTCCATAACAAAAAAAAATTAGCTCTCCTCAGGATTCTTAGAGCCTGATGTTTCTGTAAGTGCGATCCCTCAACAAGCAGCCTCATCGTGGCCTGAGAACTTGTTTGAGGTCCACCCCAGGCCCCCTGAGTCAGCAACTCCAGGGTGCCTGCAGGTGCATGCCCAGGTCTGAGAACCGCAGTGAAAGACCATCTCCCATTGAAAAATTTTCCTTTGTCTTTTTTTAATATTCCTAGCAGCTAAGGAGATGTGTTTGAAATACACATTTTATAATTTGTTTCATATCCATAGTTGAGTTTCTTACTCCAAAGATGAAACCATATTTTATTGAAAGACATCCCTCCCAGAAGATTCTGCTGTGTGCCTCCTGCCTCACCCATGAGGCATTCCTGGAATGTTTAAGGGCCTGAAATGATCTGGAAGGGCCTTTGCTGGTCGTCTAATCTGGGTGGGAGGGCAAGAAGGACAGTAAACTTACATATCATTTCATTACTGCATTTCTATGCATAGTGCTCTCCCTTGGCAATTTTGCACAAGGTCCTCAAGGCTTGTTCAATTTAAGAAGCAGTTTCTAGAACCATGCCTAATCCCAGAGAAAACCAAATTAACTCTCACCACAGAGTCAGATGGAATCACACTCTTGGAAAACAAGAATACTTGTTGAAACTGAGGAAGAAGTGCCTGCCTTTGACTCCAGGAGGAACCCTGGCCAAGAAATTCCTTGGAAAGACCTCATCCATACTGATAACTGCAAAACCCTAGAGTAGCTGGTAATAGAAAGCAGAGAGACATCACGTATGTGCTTAGCAGAACATGTGGGCCCCAGATCACATGTTAACAAAGGAAGATAAATTAAAAGTGATCACCAGAACTCATTCTTAGCCTTGATTTTTTTCCAGTGTTCCTTACGCAGCATGTGTTAGGTTAGTACCAAAATAACAAACATACTTTCCAAAGGCCCTGAGAGGGCTAGGCATAAACTCAGACAGTCTTGGTCAGAGATTCCAGTGAGGCAAAGCTGAGGAAATGATAATAGAATTATGTCTCATTCACTCCATGTGTTAAATGCTTCTCCCCTATACTTAGGCTCATATTCTTGGACTAAGACCTGGGCATATGTTTGTCTCTTTATGAAGCTTTTGAGATCCAAGAAATATTGCTCTCTAAATAGTAACTTTGCTGATGTTCTGTGTGTGTGTGTGTGTTGTTTTTTTTCTGATCAGAGTGTGGATCAGAGTCATTGTTGCTGGCATGCTGGAAGTGTTTAACCAGCTCTCTATATAAAAAAAAGCCTCAGTTTCTAGCATTTGCCAGTTTCTATGGTGTATATATTCTTACCATGATCAATTTCAAGCTATCAATCTGACATCATTACATGGAAAGTTTGGAAAAGATACACCCGATTGACACTCTTGGATTGGTTTAAAACCAGCCTCCAACAAGTCGTTGGAATGCAGAGAATTTGGAAGCAGAGGAAAGTATTTAAAAACAAAACAAAACAAAGGAAATAAATTCATGATAATGACAGTAGGAGCAAACATCAGTTTTAATATTGGATTACATTTTCTTACAGTGTTTTTTTGTCTATGTGTTTTTATGTCATTGTTATTTTGTCTATATAATTTTGTATTTTGCTTTTATCATCATGAGCATTATTTTAGTGGTTACATAATATCCCATCAAATTGATATAAGTTCATTTATTGGCCCTAGTTGTGGACATTTAAGTAACATTTTCTAATTTTTTATTGCTATACATAACACTCTATATCATTGGAATATTGGGTATAAATTTTCCTTCACCTTTCTTCTGGGTATATCCTTAAGCCAAGTTTTATGATCAAATGGTTTAAATTATGGGTTTTGGAAAAATATTGTGAGATATCATCTAGAAAGTTTGTACCAATGTACACTTCTACATTGTTTAAGATGGAGTAGGTCAATGGGGCGGGGGGGGGCGGAAGGAGGGACATCTGGAATATTTTTAATAATAAACAAATTTAAAAAAAGAATGCCTCTCTCACTGTACCTTAGCTACCACTGCTTTTTAAAGGTTTTATTAACTTAATAAGTTAAAAAACTTTAACATTGCATTTCTTTTAAGTGTGCTGTATGTTTTTTTAATGTTTATTGTCATTCTGTTTTGCCTTTTTAAAGTCTTATGTTTATGCCAAGGCTGCGTGGTGAGGCAGTCCCCACCCAGGAGATTCTGCTGTGTGCCTCCCACCTTAATCATTAGATAATTCCTAGACCAGAGATGATTTAAGAGCTTTAACTGATCTGGAAGGACCTTTCCTGGTTGTCTAATCTGGGAAGGAGGGTGAGAGGGACACTAAACATACTCCCTCTCCCCACTACATCTCTGGTTCATCTTCTGTTTCTCTTCTCTAGGCCCCAGGCTCACACCACTCCAACTTTACTGTTCCTCAGATAATCCAGGCACACCACAAGGCAGACAGGTTCTTCCTCTCTTTATGTCTGTATGGCTCACTCCCTCGCTTCTTTCAAAGCTTTTTGCAAGTGTCATGTCCAAGAGGTTTTCCCTGATTTCCTTTCTAAAATTGCCATCCCTCCCCCATCCTCACTGTCTGTCTTCTCTGCACTGTTATTCCGCTCTGGAGTATACTTTCCCTAACATGGGATTCCTAGAGTCTAGAGGTGTGTCTGACAATAAATATTTGTTGGATGAATAAGTATACTCCAGCCTGGGTCTAAAGGTTTAGTTTTGTATTGATAAAGACAATATTAACTTACGTATTTCCTTTAAACACTGGAGATGGTAACTACTTGGAATATCTGTAACAAATACATTGCTAGATTTTTAAGATATTGTATTTTTATATAAGCAGAAGATAGAGATTTTTATGTAACAATCTCACGTTGTGATTTTTTCCTATTCAAATTATATTTACAGAATTCTTTTTCATGAAGAGATCAGGTAACTTTTCACCTAGATTTTATTCTAACATCCTTATGATTTGATTTTTTTGGTAACTCTAATAAATAAAGACTTTATTTTGTTACTGTGATAAAATGACCATCTAAATGTTTTTTATGTAACTTACTGTTGGGATTCTGTTTCTGTTAATGACATTGGTTTTTCTTTTAACCATGCTCCATAATATTTTAAAATTTAACTTGTGTATTTTCCTGTCACGTAATATCTATAGGCACCAAATCTCAATGGACATTTCTGAATTATCTCCAAGATATTTTCATAGTGATATCTCTGTATTTTAAAAGCACTTTCCAATCTGGACTAAATATACTTGAGTTTGTTCTGTTATCGCTACAAGTTCTGATAAGATACAGAGCAAATACAAGGAAATATAATAGGCAGTTGAGTTCTCAGAAGTCAAAATATCCGGACTAAAGTCAAATCTGCCTCTAGCCACACTATTTTTCCTGAAGCACCTGCCAGGTGTTATGAGGACTGGAAAACTGACCCTTTTATTGACTCTCTTAAGCCCATAGTTGTTGCTTGATAAATATTTGTGGATTGAATTGCATTGAACCTTAGGGCATGATGCCATTCCAGGAAAGTATTCCAAGTAACAGCTTTCCTTTCCATATGTCTTCTGTTTTCTCCTTTTCTTAGTTGCGGTCCAGTGCAGAGCTCCATCCTGACTTGCTCACGGATTGCCTCACCGTGCAACCCCTGCAGTCGGCCACATCCCCACAAGATGCTGCCACAGATGGGGCAGTGGGATGCTCCCCGGGGCCTGGGCCCGAACTCTATCCAGGTAATGACAGCAAAGGCAGACCCAACCACATCAACTGATTTTCTCTAGGCACCTTCACTCTGGTTAAAGGGAATGCTCACATGAAAGAAATTCTTCTAATATCATCTGTATTTTGCTTTATCAGTGGACTGCAAATTATCACCCTCCATACTGTCCCATCTGAATTCTGAGCTGTTTGGCAGCAGACTTTTTTCTCATTAATAAACAAAGTAAAATAATGCATTAACTCTTTTAGTTCTGGGTTTCTGCCAAAAGTTCAATGCACCCAACCTTCCCAAGTATCTCAAATTTATTAACTGATATAGACTCAAAGGAAATGCTTCCCCCTTAAGCAGATAACAGATTTCTTAATGGAACAATCATTGTCTTCTTCGCATTTTAAAAGGAAGCCCAAGGTTTCTAAGAAAAATACCATACCAGTAAACCAGCTTGTAAGAATGTCCATTACTGTTTGTTAACCATTTCAGGGGTGGGGGGAGATAGAATGGCACTCCCAGTCCCCCAGACCCACTTTCTTCTGCCTGGGTTTGAGTAATAGATGACTCCATATTTGGAAAATTTCATGTGTGTAGTGAAAATAAGAAAGGATTAATTTGCAACAAAAGTTATTTTTTTCATTTACTTTCTTACCTGGATTTGTATGCGTCTTTCACTCTTATTGTGACGATGTACCCCTGCAAACATAACTGATTAGCATCCTCATGTTTGGAAAGCCCTTATTGTCATGCTGTGACTCTGATAGTAAATGTCCCACCGGCTCCACATTTCAGACAATGAGAATTTTCTATTGTCTGTGGATTACAAATCCCACTCCCACCCCCATCTGATTCCAGGGCCAGGTTTTGGCAGCAGACTGTTTTATTTCTTTTTTCTTTTTAAATGTACTAATAAGCCATAAAGAATTAAGAATTTACTGATGCATAACAGTGGAATAGAAGAAAGACATGCTTGTGTAACTTGATAAACTCCACAGTTCTCAGTTGGTCCAAAGGCAGGGGAAAGTGCAGTGTTTCAAGAAGGTCAGTCATCAAGACACCAAGAGTCAGTGGCCCTTTATCAGTTGTTTTGGCTACTTACTTTTGGAGACCAACACAGCTGCTTTTTGAGAATTTGGGACATGAGATTAAACCTTATCTGAAGGGCTGAACAAATCTTACAGAGGTTTGCGGTACAGGTACATATATACACATGAAATACGTCAATGTATAATGTTTTCAGCACACATAAATATTTTGTATTAGATATATACATGAAAAAGCGTGACTAGCTAGACTAGCTTTTGTTTGTACATATGTCTGTTTGATTTGCCACATATTTGATATCTGAACATTTATTTTAGCACATTAAGTTAACAATCAGTTTAAAGCAGCCAATATAGCACTACATTTTTTTAATCCTCACCCAAAGATATGTTTTTATCGATTTTTTTTTAGAGAGAGAGAGGAAAAGAGAGAGAGAATCATCAATCAGTTGCCTCCCATATGAGCCAAGACCGGGAATCAAACCTGCAACCTTTTGGTGTACGGGACAATGCCAACCAACTGAGCTATTGGCCAGGGCCCTCTAATTCTACAGTCTATAAATTCATGATTTTATTAAAGACCTGGAACACAACATTTAATAGTCAAATCTAATCCAAACCAATTGCAAAATGGCCCAACATCTAATATATTTTCTGGTGATGGGATAGTCTTGTTCATTTAAATCTCTTAGAAATGGATTTGGAAAGCAATGGGATCTCTATCTTTGCTGTGTGTAGCATACATCTGTGTGGCTCATTTTCAAAACTTAGGAGTCACCTTTGTCTTGGTGTGTATTTTTATATTTCTGGTAGTGTTTTTAAAAATTTTAAGAGATTTAGTTTGAAATGGCTTTGTCCTTCCAAATAATTCCTCTCTTTGCACATGATACATTTAAAAAATTATTATAGTTATTTTACAATTGCAGTTTACTTTCAATATTATTTTGTATTGATTTCAGGTATACAGCATAGTAGTTAGACAATCATACTTTGCAAAAACGGTCCCCTGATATTTCCAGTACTCAACCTGCACCAAACATAGTTATCACAATATTATTGACTATATTCCCTATGCTGTACTTTACATCCCTGTGACTGTTTTGTAACTGTCAATTTGTACTTCTTAATCCCTTCACCTCTTTCTCCCAGTCCCCCATCCCTATCCACCTCCCCAGCAGCCACCAGTCTCCTCTGTGTACATGAGTCTGTTTCTCCTTTGGGCCTCAAAAAAGATTTTGAGCTCTTAGTTTTGAGCCTCCAGCTCATGCGGGCGAGGTGCCATAATGGGCAAAGAGTCTAAGTTACCACAGTATCAACAGAATATCTTCAGATTGATTTGAATTTTCTGCAACTATGGGGACATTTGAAACAGGCATGTGGCCATCTTCCTTTATCCTGGAATTTTACTCCTTGAGTTAGCTTATAACTGTGAAAGTTTATCTTCCCTACTTCTTTTTTTATTCCTGCTTCCCTCGGGTTCTATTTTACTTTCTTTGTTCTTGCCTTTCCTTTTAACAAACAGAACAAAACAAGGCAGGAAGAAAAACTAAAAAAAACAATAATTTTAAGCCTTTCTTCTTCCTTTTAAAGTTCTAAAAATCCACTTGCCAGGAGCGCGTGTTCACACCAGTTTCAAACCTGTGCTAAAGATCTGTGGAAAGAAGCCAAACAGTGAGAGATGCCAAAGGAAAAGGAAACTGTTTATCAATTAGTTACATGTAAAATCTGAAGTGTTAGGGCAATTTGACAAAGATTAAGGCTTGGCTTAGTGGCAGAAGTACTTGGAGTCATTCCCTTTACATTCTGTTATACAAAATTGAGAAAATATTTGTTTAATGATTGTCAAGCACTTAGACTTTTAAGTGCTAGCAAATTGATTTACAATAAAAATATTTTGATGGACACCTGTTCAGTATATATGGGCATAAGATCAGAAGTAGTTTAGCAAGGAGCACCATGATTTTTTAGAAGCTACCATGGAGGACTCATGTTTTGAAGAAGTCATGATTTTGAAATGGAAACTTTTCGTGGGTAGCAGAAAAGGATTTGTGAGATTCTGGGAGAGGGGTAGTTGGCAGAGCATGAAGATGAACAGGGAAGATGGCAGTTCTGACACGTACAGCTCTTGCGAGTCTCCTAACATGTTGGCTTTCCTTATTGAAACAAACCTTTCAGTTGATAAGTTGGAGTTTGACTGGAAAGGAATGCCTGAAAAGACTTTTATTTCTGTGGGAGAAAATAGTACCCTAGGTTAAAGCAGCCAAATATCACTTGAGGCCCTACTGAAGGTGATTTTAAAAGCGAGGTGTTTATTTATCTACTTGGAAATCCCGGGGCTCCGCAGGCCGGCTCCTCAGCTAACCTGAGAGCGATTTAGTGATCTAACAGGAAGTCTGGACAGTTCTCAAGGAAGGCTCACTTATATTGTCTGTCCTTTTGTTCAAAAGTGCTGTACCTCAGATAGTACTGTCTTGGCCAGCCTGTAAATTCAGGTGATTTGTCTGATCATCCAAGGGAGAAATATCATAGCCAGTAGATCGAGGTGTGAATGCCACTTTTAAGGCTTAATGCCTGTGTAGATATTCTCATCAGCTCCCTGGATGAAGGGATGAAGCAGATAAGCCTACAGTTAGTCTGCAATATCATGGACAGCCTGGGCCAGTGCCTGGTCCTGACAGAGAGTCCGTTCACTATCAAAGAACGCTGTATGGAAGATCTGTCTGGTGAGTGATCACAAGTTACGGTTCCCTCCAGATCAAAACTGTACTAGAGGCTCAATACAACATAAGCTTTGCAAATGGTCTTAGCCATGAAGACATCGTAGAGACCAGTGTGGTTGAGATGTTTGAGATTCACAGAACCCCATCATCAAGTGAGGAGCTAATGCAGCTGGAACAAGGAGATCTGCAAGAATGAGGGAATTTTATTGGTACCACTTCTATTGGGTTTTTAAATAATTACCATGTTTTTAGAGCTATTGAATTATCCCAATTCTGAGTGTAACTTTAGATCTTTCAGGGGGGAAAAGTGTTATATTCATATATTATAGGGAATTGTAGAATGAAAATAAATACATTTTTAGAGCAGGAACTTTTGAAGTCATATATTGTCATTCCCTTCCCTCCCCCTCATTACTGAGAAATGAAGGCTTCTCTATTACAATAGCATCACTTTTTGTAATAAATAGCACCATATTAAATTTATACAGGATTTAACATACTTTGTGAAATAGTTAATGTTTCATTTTAATGTAATTTTATGGGATATGTTTTAAAACATTTTCTACATTCTTAAGTTAATATATTTGCTATCTTGGGACAACTTGCAGAGTTGTAGGGGTTAGAAATAATTTTCTATAAAACTGCCTCATATAATCTACTCTCAAAAAGTGGTTATTAATTTAGGGGCTTCATTAGAATGTTCTTAATTGGCACACAAATTTCCCAATTGGTTAAACTTTATAGGAGAATTGTTGAAGATCAAATAACATAATCTGTATAAATGCCCATAATGTATATAAATGGTCATAGAGCATTATAAAACATGCAATAGTTATTACTTCAAAATTTTGACTTTGTTTGGAATTTACCAGGGGTGAAAAAGGGACAGAACAGCTTGAAATTGGTGGTGGACAGAAGGTGGTAGAATGGGGCAACAGAAGCGATTTATAGGGAAACGTTTGGCAACAACATCTTTCTGATGTTGCCTTGAACTGCTGTCAGAATCCTGTATTGTTCATGTAACATCTCTTGCATCTGTGGTTTATCTGCCTACTGTAGTTGGATTGCAGAATCAATGAGCATAGGAACAAGCCTCATTTTTCACTTTTGTAGAAACTGATAGTTAAATCTACAGATTTGGCCCTGCCTGATCCTGAGCCAGTCCTTTAGTGAGCATTAACTCACCTGGCAAACCCGTGAAAATACAGATTGCTGTTCCTCACCCCCAGAATTTCTGATGCAGTAGGTCTGAGTGAGTC